CATGAGTAAAACCTAGTGGGGATGATCACAGCTCTCTTGTTATGAACCCACATTTATATCTGATCTATTTTCAAAACAAAAGAGCAAAACATATGCTAGTGAATAAGACAGTGTTCTTCTTAATGCATAAAACTTGGGACAGCCTGGGGGTTAATTATAATGAGGTTTGTGATATATCTGAATGTGATAAAAAAAAAAGAACCTGCTAAAAATAATTCCTCTCAATCCTATACTTAAGGCTGTGAAATAAACAGGTAATAAATGCTACTGGTGCTAAGAAGCTCCAGGCAATTTGTTCAAGGTCATCTGCTTAACCAATAGGCATCTATACCTGAGTCAAATAACAAGAGCTCCCAAGCATAACTTTCCTCTATAGGGTGACTACTTGTGCAAATGTCTCTATAGGGTGACTACTTGTGCAGGGTACAGAGCCCTGCGCAAAGCAAATCACACAGTGTGCCCCTCTGCAGCCATACTCCTGTGTATTTTTATATAGGTAAAACTGGGTCTAAACAAGCACTAAGATAAAGAGGAAGTATCTGCCTCTAAGGAGTGGGGAAATGAGGGTACAAGGAGAACTGCCTGGAGTGACGTTAAAGGTGTTAAAAGCTAAGCTTCCTTTTTTATGATCGTCACAAGTGAAACGCACACCCCTCTTTTGCAGGAACCCCCAGCAGGGGGCTTGGTCTATCAAAAGGGGCTCAAAAACGCAGCTGTATCTTCCCTGCTCTCCAACCCAACAGCACTGAAGCTGGTAAAAACCTTGAGGTCCAGACCACTCATATGTATCACAGTCCAGGAAAACCTGGTGGTTGAGGGCTAGGAATAAGCTCTGAAGACATGAGAATTAACTCTAATACCCCTGCTTTGTGATTGGGCAAAATACAAAGCCACAAAGCAGCTGGACTTACATAAACACTCCAAGCATGTGAGGGGAAAACTCTAAAGGAAAACGACTGTGCCCAAAACTAAGTCAAGGGAAAACGCATGATCATATAAGAAGTAAAGGTACAAGCATCAGTGATAAAGGTAGTAAAGGTAAAGGATTTAGCTCAGCGGCGTAAGCGCCTGCCTTGCAAGCTCCCATGATCCCTGGAACCAAAATAATAATAAAACAAAGGTAAGTACAGTATGTCAGAGCTGACACCAAAGGGCAGCCACATGACCTGAACAAAACTGAACAAAACTTCAGGACTTCCTTTGCCTGGGGAGGTCATGAGACTTTTTTCACTAAAACAAGGAATGGTGTAGTGAGATGGGAGAAAGAACTTCCCCTTCTGGGTGGCTCCAATTTTTAAACCTCTGCTCTTAACTGTCTGGTCAAAGGATGTCGAGGGATGCCAGCATGTCATCTCCTGGTCATTTTTCTACTGGAGATTTCCCAGCCGTCTTGGAAGTCTGGCACTAGCAGTCACCAGCAGCTGACTGGCATGTTACCACGTGACACTGTGTAAATCGTGTGGCATAGTAAGGTTTTTCTTTTCCTTACAGTAATCCCGTTCTGATGAAAAAAAAAAAGCATAATCATTTTAATTATGTACTTAGAAAAAGGATTATCTCCAACAAAGAATCACAGGGTAACACTAATTAGAGAGTGTCTTGACTCATTACTATGAATTTTTCAGAGCTGAATGTATTAATTTTAGCTGGTATCTGCAAAGGCTGTTTCCTATTATTCATATAACCACCACAGAAGAAATAGGAGAAAGTCAGTCTGACCTTTTTATCACGAAAAGTAACTTTAACAGGGAAAAGAAAGCAATTAGGATACAAATACAAAACTGATACTATTGCCTTATTTGTTGCATCAACAAATACTTACTGAGCAGCTAATATATGTACCAGGCACTGGTGAATAAACCAGGTATTACTACTGCCCTCAAGGGCAAGAAAGAGATACTAACCAGTAACACAATACATAATTACAAATTACTGTAAATAGTAATATGCAAAATCATTATACCTTGAGAGAGAAAATAAAGTTACATGGTAAGAAATGGCTTCTCAGAGAAAATCTTTCTAAGAAAGGATATTTGAGCTGGCACTCAGATGGGAAATTATGCCTGGAGATGGTCCTAAGTGAGAACCACAGCAGCAAGGAGAAGCCCAAGGCAAGACTGCTGGAGATGTGGCCTAGATGATGCAAAAGATGGTCCTCGGAGGACAAGGATCAAATCATATAGGGCCCTAAAGCTGCAACTGTGTATCTCACCTCAAGAATAACTGTGTTTCCTGCCAGCCTTGAAGACTTAAAAACAGCAAATGAGAGCAGGATCTATCGGTCTCCTATCTCTGTAATTCCAGCAGTCTGGAAAAGTGGAGGCAGTAGCATCACTTTGGACCTAACTTGGGCAACTAAGCAACATGCTATTTCGAAAACAAAAACAAAACAAAGGCTGAGAATGCAGCGCAGGGCAAAAAGCCTTGGGTTCAATACCCAGTACGGTCAAACAACTACACAAAAAAACAAAGTAAAACCAACAAAAAGCAAATAGCAAGTGATTTTATTTTTTAGGCTGTTGGTGGAAAAACAGACTGGAAAGAGCAGGGTGTAGGCAGGAAGCCAGTGAATCAGAGAAAGACAACAGTGCCTTGAACTAGTAGAAACTGGAAATCAGACAGGTTGGAAAGAGATTTAGCAGGAAAGATGGGCAGACTTTGTGACAGTGGATTGGAGGGCCTGAAAGAACAGAAAAGGGTGAAGTAAGTGACACCTTGGGTGGATGAATTAAAAAACAGATGAGCAACAATTTGAAAAACTAAACAGTCACAAGCTCAGTCCTATAAAAAACTGAGATGCTACCATTTATTGGTCATCTAAAGTGTGCCAGGCACTATATGAGGTGTTCAAGTCATCGCAGAACCCCCTTTAATAGTAGTGCTCCCATTTTACAGAGAACAAATTGAAGATCACAGAGGTTGAGAAGCGTCGTCAAGCTTACTCACCCTGGGAGTGATATACCCACATCTGGCTTGTTGACAGTAGGGTAAACATTCTTTCCAGTACACAGAGTACTTGGAAACTGTCTTCATATTTTGAATTCTCACATCTCTTAAGGGTTGGAACAAGCTAGTATCTAAGGAGAGTAGATTTTATGGTACAGAAAGTTTTCCTATCCAAATCATAGACTCCATGCCACTCACTACACCAAGGGGTTTTGTAGCACTTTGAACACTAGCAAGATATCTATGATCTTAGCATAATAAATTACCAAAGCCATGAGGCCAAGTGTTAACCATAATGAAAAGGGTAACGAACAATAATTTCACTCCCAAGTCATGATAATGCATTAACATAAGAAAAATCAAATAAGGAATATGAAACTGAAGAACTAATCATTTCTCAAAATGCAAGATATTCAAGTCAAAAACTGGTATAAGCCACCAATCACAGAAGGCTACAAAAAACAAGGATTGAGTATTCAAATTTAAAAACTGCACCTTTAACAAATAAAAAAGAATGGCAAAAATGACACCACAGACATGCAGTTTAAATCTCCAATTTCCACATATCTCAACTAAGTGCCAAACACGCACCCTAAAAATGACTTAAACATAGTCCCTTCTACAACTGCTTTTCACTGCACCCCATTCCACTTCTGAAAACTGAAATGCCTTTTCTGTTTGCACAGTCCCATGATTTGCTCCCTCTAGGGGACCTCTAATGTCCCCTTGTGCTACTGAATCCTAGAAATAAAGTTTGATCAATGAACCCACAAAGAATTCAGCGCATTACTGCCAATTGTGACTATCACGGAAAATACCACCTTGAGACTATTAAAGGGGGTGCGGGAGAGAAAAGGGAGATTTTTGAAAGGTTTAATCACCTGCATTACAAAGTATATTTTTTCGCACCTGATCCTCCAATAGAACAATTATCATACAATTATTTTCAGCCTTCTTAAAAGTAGGTGATTTTGACAGTATGGGGAGAGTTCTCCATGGAGGTGAATAAAATTAAAACTACCATTAAAATGTCCATTAAATAATACACAAACCACTTCCCAAACTAACACACTGCTGTGTCCTATGCCCTGATTCTTGTGTGTCTCCTTACCTCTCCCTGCAGAGGACTGGAGGATATTCATCACTACAGCCTCACTCCGGCAAGGGACAGGATGTTGAAACCCATTAAGAAAGCTTCCCAGTTTCTGTTCCTTCATAACATAATCCCACCTCCTGAAACTACAAATTGAAAGACTTTTTTTTAATGGAAAAAAAAAGAAAAAAAGAGAGAGAGAACTCTCTAGATCCCCTATCAGAAAAAGTACACAGAAGAGCAGCGATCTCTACATACATAAAGATGCTTCCTGGGGAGACAACAGATCTAATGAAGAATCGCTGAGCCACAACCTACAGGAAAATCCATAAATGTTCATCCTTCCTGTCACCAAGCTGGGGCAATTTTTTAAAATGCGACGCTTTGATGTACCGACAGAGCTAGCCTGACAGGGTTAAATCAGCTAGGAAACGTGCCCCGCATCTATTTCCCTTCCAAATCCCTGAAGATCAGAGGCAATACTGACCTACAATTACATCTTACGATGGCTCTGCTCAAGATGCCATCTGATGCTGAGAAAGTAATGCTTTAGCAACACCAGGAGGTTCTCCGATGCTAAAACAACAATGCAACACTGCATTACAAACCTAGGTTTTGGACGATAAAATCCAGGGCCCTGCAACGATCCGCATTCAAAGCTCCCAAGCCTTAAAAAAAAGTTGAATCTTTCCAGGCTTCCTGCAGTTTGTCCTCTCAAAGTTCTCAGTCTGCAGAATGGAATTACTTTCAGAGTCCCCTCTTACCAACTCTCCTCCCTCGAGGGGCTAGCGACCAGGCAGACTAGGGACGAAGGATGGTCAGCGTTCAAACACAATTTTAAAACCTTTTACTCCAATCAGTTTTTTTTCACAGAGGAGGAAAAAAAAAAAATAAGCGTTTCCCCAACCGCCACCCAGCAGGCGAGCATCCGACTTCCATCCGGAGGGGGGAAAACACATACCTGAGAGTAGCCAGACGCATATGTTTCCCTTCCCCACAAAAGTGGCCTCTAAACTCCCTCGCCAAGGACACCAGGAAGAAGCAGCGGAGCCACGAGCACTTTTCGGTGCAAGCGCGCAGGCTGACACCGGGGGAGGCGGCGCGGCGGCGGCGGGAGCCCGCGGCGGGCCGGGCGGAGGAGGCCGGGGCGCGGGCCAGGGTCCCCGGCGGCGCAGGAAAGTTAATACTCACTCAGTTCCGCGAGGGCGCCGCCCCGCGGGCCGCCGGCGGCGCTGCCGGGCGCTGGGGACGCGGCGGCGGCGGCGCCCGAGTCGCTGCCGCGCTGCGCTCTCGCCGGCGGGAGGCCCGGCTCCGCCGCGCCCTCTGCGCCCCTCGGCGGCGGGCGCCGGTGAGTGCGGAAGCCTGGCCGGGGTTGCGGGAGTCGGGGGCCGCTGAGGGTGCGGGGCGCGCCGGCCTCAGGCCACCCCGACACGGCGACGGCGCCGCGCACGGCAGTGCGGACCGGCGAGGCTGGCGAGCTGCGCGAGGCGCGCGACGGGGGCGGACGGCCGAGTCGGCGTCCGGCTCGCTCCCGCGGCCGGTGCCTCGGGGCCGGGGCCGGGCTGGGGGCCGGGCCGGGGCCGGCCGGCTCCGCCCCTTCGCCGGGTCGCGGGCGGGGCGCGCGGGCGGAGCGGCGCGGGGGCGCCCCCCTCGGCCGGCGCTCGGGTTACAGCCGCGCTCCCGCCCGCCCGCGCGCGGGACCGAGCTGGTAACGGAACCGGGCCGCGGGCCTGCATTGTGGGAGCCTCGCGGGCGGCGGGGGGCGCGCGCGGTCCCGGTCCGGGAGGAGCAGCCGGGCTCGCGAGGCGGGGGAGCACGCGTCTCCGGGAGGCCCGCGAAGTCTTCACGGCCTGGGGCTGAGACTTGCACGACTGCCAGCCCTCAGTGGTCACCGCGGAAAGTGGGAGTTTTTTTCCTCAGGCAGAAAAGGGGGTAAAAAAGGAAAGGAAAAGGGGAAAAAAAGCCTTTCTGTCCCCCAGCACTGACTTGAATTGCTTTTCATCTGGAGTAGCTGTGATTCAGCGGTCCCCTTAGCAGCAAGCATGACAAGAGGCAGAAGATGAGGGAAAAAACGCGAATGAATCAGATGTGAGTAACAAAAGTTTAGAAAGAGCTGGGCTCAGATTCAGACCCATCACCCGCTTAAAAATAGCATATAATCAAGAAAAGAAGTCACTGCTTTCATCTGGAAATGCAGATATGTCTGTAGTTTGTCACTCTTCACTTAATTTTTTTTTCTTTTGATGTCATGCAATTACTCTAGCCACTGGACAAAATTCAGTTGTTGGTCCAGGCTTGTGCCCACACTTGCCCACAACTCAGCAGCAGCTATTAATTTGAAGGGAGATGGGCAAAGATAATGGATGAGATGCCAGAAAACATTCCAATTAGAAAATGCCCCCCCACACACACATACACACTTAATTCCCAGGCACTTGCTTGTTGTCAAAACAAGGATTTTAAATTTGGAGTGCAACTTGTTACAGCTCATCTGACTCAGGACCTGCATGGTTTTGAATTTTGCTTTTATTTTTGTAATTGGATCCTCGTTTCTTCTTGCTTTTTGACCTTCAGTTTTTGCACGGTTTGTTTCAGAGGTAGACTGGGATGAGAGTGTATGCAGGAAGATTTAATCGGGCAAGTTAACATTTGGAAGATGTGGGGAGAAAAGTTCTCCATGCAAATGCAAAACTTTAGGGACTATGATTTAAAGGTGAATCTGCAGGCCACCCCTCCCGTAAGCTACTTAGAATGTTTTCCAAGCGGTTTTTTAGCCTACAGGTGAATATGTCCTAACTTCTAACTGCTGTAACTTGTCATTCTCTGTCAACCTTTTGCTCCACTGAACATAAGTCGCTACCTGGTTGCCAAATCTAATGGAAAAATTTAATCTCCATCTTCTGTCCTTTGTGGTGTTTGCTAATACTGACCTCTCCTTTCTTTTCAGAATTTACTTCCATTGTTTGCTGTGATAGTTACTCCTCTGTGGAGTTCCTGAAACAAGGGTGAGTGATAGCAGGCAACACAGGCGCTATTGTTAAATCACAATTCAAGATCTTCCTGAGTAGCTTGACCTTAATCTTGCTTCTGTAGGTCACCACCTCAATTTTATGTCCAATCCACAGGTAAACAAGTTGTCTGACTCATGACAGCCACCTCTCATCTGACCAGCATTTAATAGGATTAAATTTATTGATTGACTAACCCTGGCCAGTGTCTAGGACAAGCCTTTTCTGAGATCCAGCTACCTGGTGAGGTGTCCTCATTTCCAAGCCAGAATATGCTTTACTGGTAGTTGCCAAAAGCGGTGAATTTGCCTCCATCTGTGCTGTAGAAACAGGAAAGTCTTTTCCCTGTATCAGCCTCATTTAGTTAATACATTCTTTCTTCTGAGTAGACTGTAATTTGTTTCACATTTTCTTAGCCATAATCATGTCCCTGTTAAGCTTTCATGAGATTACACCAAATGTCCTTGATGGAATTTGTAAAGGACCCTTATTCCTGTTTGTACTTATATTCCTGGAAAAGTACCTAACAAGAGTGGCTGAGTATTCATACACTTTAACGTCTGTGATACAATCAGATTTCATTTTTAAGAAAAAGAACTTGAGAGGTGGATTGAAAAGATGGGTGAGTCCAAAAGTTGACAACATAGAGAGCAGTGGAACAGAAAGTGACTGTACCTGGAGATAAGTTACCATGTAAGCCATAGTTTCCTCTTGTACAAATTACCTCAAACTTGGTTGTTAAACTGGAAGTTACCATCTTACAGTCCTGAAGTAGGAAATCTAAAATTAAACTGTGGGCTATGTTCCTTTCGGAAGTTGGCAGGAAGAATCTGTTTCCTTGCCTTTCTAACGCCTGTGTAACACCTACATCCCTTGGCTTGTGGCTCCTTCCTCTATCATCAAGGCCAACAGCCGGACCGGCCCCAAACCTCCAACATACACACCTTTCCTTAGTTCTCTCTTATTCCTTGTCCTCCTCTCTTTCCCTCCTTCTCTTTTTCCCTGCCTATGTCTGTTTCTGTTTGCTTCTACTTCATGGTGAAGGGGGGACATCTCTTTGAGGCTAGAAATTGATATGGACATAATTCTAGCTATATGTTAGAGACTGAGTGGAATTAAAGTACTTGTTGGAAGAGATAACAAGTGGCTTCATTACTTGTCAAATCATTTTTGGGATTACTAGCTTGACTGTGAGATGGCCAAAATGGAGACTTGTGTCCTCAGCTAAATCTGCATTCATCCCATGACCCGTGCCACTGAAACCAGGGTGTTAACCCTAATAAAGCCTAGCTTACTTCTGCAGTTCTTGGGGTTAAATCCCTGTCTGGAAATATATATATATATATATATATATATATATATATATGCATTCATATAATTTTTCTATTTTTGAGAGGAAAATAATGTGCATTTTCTCCTCTAATTCTGTTCATCATGATATTTTTTTTTCCATTTTATACAAACGGGGTCATTTAGAGCTTGTCAGCCTGAATTACTTAGCCTTTGTTTACTATAAGTTTAGAAAGAACAAGAACCCTATCTCCTCTCTTCATCAGTGTATGTATGTATTAAGCAATAACTATGGTGTTGTTTCCCATTCCTAATGAAAATCTTATTCACATACTGACACACTGAAATGCTCTATAAATATTATGTTATAGTAACCAATGTAAAGGGTCTTTGAGAATCAACTAACAGTTTTCAGACCTTATAGAAAAATTTAATTTAATGAGAGTTTCTTCTTAAAAATTAAATGATAGTCACTAGATCATAAACAACCCTTTAAGTAAGCCAAAAGTATAGGAGGATGATGATCAATGTATTTTGCTAAGCAATAAATTACAGTATGGGAGAGCAAATAAAGTATGAACTATAAATAGAAACCATGACATATTATAGCAAAAGAAATCTGTTCAAACATATTTAGAGGTAAGATTTAAAATATGCTTGGATCCTTCTTTAGGTGGAAGTTACTTAAGAAGATAATCCCATGAAAATTAAAAAGATTGGATCCTTTTATTGTAGGCTGGAAGAACAGATTTAGTTAGCCTAGTCTAATGTGGGGGATTACTGGAACCTACTCTAGGTAAAAAATATTGTGAGGAAACAGTGGAGAAGGTACCAGATGTTATGAAGCTGCATCCTTGTAAATACAGGCAGTAAAATGCGGTCCGTCCAGCATTCTTTCAACCCCAGTGGCGCTCACCCATCTTTCTACACTTCTGTAGCACTATAATTGAGGTTTATAATGATGACCCTGATATGACTTCTGAATCATAGCAGAAAGATTAAATTATGCTGTGCTTTGCCTTCATGTATTTAATTACATTTTTATTAGCTGCACACTGGGAAATCTGATCTGTTTTATTGCCCTGCTGGATTGACGAGAACCTCCTTATCAGGGATCCAGACATTCTGGATAGCAAAGCTTACAGTTCATGGAGGAAAAAAAACCAAAAAAACCCTGTAACAACAGATTTTTTTCAAGTGTAAGATTTAACTATCATGACCAGAATAATTATTATGAAAAAATTTGTAGTCACCCAGCCACATTTTTAAGAACTATAACAAATGTTGTTGGCTAATAATAAATGTCACATGGCAAATTCTTTCAGTAAGTGTTATAATTCATCACCTGTAGTAAAAAAAATTTAGCTTAGAATATGATTGAATCAGTCTTCATTTTGGGTTGAGAGATTGTGGTCTGTTTGTGTCAGCAGGGACCAATTCAGGAACTGACCCAGTAACATTATAAATTGAGCTGGGTGGTGTGTCTGAGTTCGACTTGAGGGTTACTGTGATTTCTGGAATGTCCCTCCAAAGCCTCATGTGCTCCGAAATGGGCCTGGTGGAAACCATTTGCCCAGGGGGGCTGTATCTGGTGTTAGGAGGTGGGCCTGCTCTGCAGAGGCAGCTGCTGCTTTCCTCCCTGGCTTCTCCCTTCTCTTTCTGTCTCTTGGTCCCCTTGACATGAGCAGCTTTTCCTCCACTAAGCCCCTCTGCGATGCCACTTTCTGCCTAGGAGCCAGCTGCCCATGGACTGTAACCCTGAGCCAAGATGAACCTCTCCTCCTTTAAGTTATGGGTGTCGGAATTTGTGTCGCAGGAACAAGAAAGTAATGAAGATAGGAGTCCTGTCCAGCCACTCTCTTTTTTCACCCTTTGTTTTCCTTCAGATACATTGATGGTTCTGGTGAGAACAGCAGGCCTCTAATGCACATATGGGACAATGATGTGTGACAAGGTCCCTGAAAGCAGAGCTCGAGACAGAGATTCAAGGACATGATTCCTGCCAGAGAATAGTTTGGGCCTGATCCACTGAACCCTGAAGCTGGTTCGCTTGAAGCAAGGAGACCAGCCTTTTCCATGTCCCTTGGCAGTGGGGTGAGGGTGACCGGAGAGCTTCTGCTCCCGCAAGAACCAAGGAAAATCTCAGAGACCAACCGACAGTGGCTGCAGCTGGGGATGTGTGTTGTCCCAGTAGAACAACAACAATACCCATGTCACAAGGAAACACTGTCACATTTTGTTTAGAGCACCAACACCTCCGAATTCTGTAACTGTTGTATCATCCTGAAAAGTACAGCAGAGTCCAAATATGTCCAACCTTGTATCTAAAGGGAAATATATTCAGGGTACAACTAGGTGTGCAAGGAACATGTTTCCTCTTCTAGCAGGTGACTTGGAAACCCTGGCCCCCTGACCCTCTTGTAATTTATGCCAAGTGGTGGCAGCTAGTGGTAGCTCCTGGGAATGAGGAAAGGTGCCCAAACAGGGAAGATACTAAGGACATGAGAAAAATTGGGTAGATTCCCGAGAGTCAGGGATGGAACAAAGGGCCCTTAGGCTAAGCCGTATGACCTCAGATGCACAAGCCAGTCTCCCAGTGGATCAGGAAATGAACTTGCCTGCCTGTCTGCTCTGCCAACATCCTTTGCTGTGTCCTGGACTTCTAACTCCCCTGGCCTCCTTTGCTCTTGTACTTCCAAGTCTTCAGACAGCTCCTACACCACTCCACTGAACAAGCATCTATCTCCACTTTCTCTGGGATTTTCTAATAGTTGGACAGCTAAAGGTGGTGGCGAGTTTGGCGGTGGACAGTAAGGGACTGGCTGAGTAGAAGTCATTCCCACCCTTCCCCTTCCTAAATTCAGCCTGTTGGGGCTTCCCTGCAGGAGTGTTACTGGTGGGTCCCTGTAGTAAGCAGAGGCCACCCTGTTCAGTGGATTGCTGCATTTCAGGGGAGTGCCCTGGGGCTGCATTGGGTGCAATACAGGGTGAAAGAAGCAGATGAGGAGCTCCAGAGGCGGTGCAGGAGCAGGGACAAAGCAGTGCATGGGACATTGTCAGCAAACGCAGGACTGCCCTTTCTTCTCTCCCCAGGCTGTTGGCCAGCCCCAAGCCTTCTGCTGCATATATCATTTTAGACTAATGGAAGATGCATCAAGAACTGGCATGGATCGGTGTGGGACAAGTGGAGAAAGATACTACTGTAAACTCTGAAAGAAGAGAGAGAGAAGTCATTGTGTGTGTGTTGGGGGGGGGTGATTATACTTACATTTTATTCTGAGGCTGGAAGAGAAACTTCCTTTATCTTAAAGGTGGGGCAAAAATAAATTGCCCCAGTAACATACAGAAATGATAAATATTTCCACTTTGACTGGAATTGGAGCCATATCTCTTGACATGGCATACAGCTGACTAGGGCTCAGGTGTGGGCTCTAGCAGTCCCTTACGTGGGCCCCATGTGGCTTGGTGGACCTGAGGGGTGAGCTGGTTAATACAGAACCACTATCCTTGTTCCAGCCTTCCTCCTTCCTGCTGCTCTTCAGCTTCTGAGTGATCCCAGCTTTCCTAGCCTGTGTGAGAGTTGAGCCAAGAAATTAAAGAAAACAAAATTTTAAAAGAACTCTGGATTCTGGGAAAGCTTGGAAAGGTAGCAAGATAGATCTTGGTCCAAATCTTGGCTCTGCTTTTTACTGCTTGGCTGACCACAAGCAAGTTGTTTAAATTTTCTAACCTTAATATTCTTATCTGTAAAAAATAAGGAGAAGTACAGAATAATATTTATAGCACAGAAATAGTATTAAGTTGAAGATCAAATGAAATAAAATGTACCAGTACCTGGTACATAAATACTGTTTGTTATACTAATGCTCATAATTAGTATGTAGAAGCTCTTAGGTGAAACGGTACTTTCATCAAAGCAAATAATTACAGTGTTCTATTTCAGTATATCTGCATGAGGCATTGTTCTAAATGCTCACGTATTAATTCTTAATCCTTACAACTCTATGAGGTATGTTCTATTCTTTTACCCATGTTAATAGATTAGGAAGGCAAAGCATAGAGACACATTCAGTAAAATTCCACTATTAAGATAGTAGAGCTGGGATTCAAACCCATGACGTTCAGCTTCAAACTTTGCACACTACCATGCGATAAAGAGTGAGGTGAGAGTCAAACAGTACAGAAAGAGCCCAAAGCATTGAATTGGTGTGGGTCAAGGTGAAAAGTTCAACTAGAAATTTTAGATTGAGGGTCACAGCCCGGAGTGTGCTGAGGGGTGGAGCGGGTTCAGCAGCAACATGCTTCATCGTGGACTCCTCCCCTAGCAAAATACATTACCATCCGCTTTTATTTCAGAATGATTGATATGTTTCTAAGTCAGCTTCCAAGCAAACTGAGGAAAAAAGGTGACTATGCTTTGAAAACTATAAGCATTTTAAAAGACATTTTGTGTCTTTATCAGGTAAGGAACAATCAAGGAAAATGACCTGGTGAGTTCTAGTTTACAGATTAGCTTTGTGACCATGGGCAAGTCCCTTTCCTTTCTCCACATACCTAAACCAGATTAATGATATGGACAGTAGTGTCTTTCCTTTTAAGCCCAGCATTGACAGATCCTGCTGGCCAGTGGAAATCCTTTCCTTCCCTCTCTGATGCCCCTCAAGGCTATGTGTTTTTTTCCAGGAGGACAGCATCACCAGTTGGAGGTGCATTGTGTGCTTACAAGGACTTGCAAAATTGCCTCAAATGTCATACCTAGCTCTGACATTCTGAAACTGAATAACAAATTAGAATAATTAGTGCCATCTGAAGAGAAGAGACACAGCAAAAACAGTTTCCTTTCAGCTTCTAAAAATGACCTAAATACCTCAAAATTCAACTAAAACCATATAGGAAAGCTTGAGGGTAGATTTGTACTAGGAATATAATATGCAGTGAATGTAATTCTGTTAAATACTTTATAATTCATTCTGTGATTTTACCCCTAACATTTAATTTATATGCAAGATAGGAATTCTATATCTGCACTGTATCTGTGTTACTTGAGAATCCTGTATCTATAGTTGAGAAGGGAAGTGTTTCGGATTTTGGAATTTTGGAGATTGGGAAACATTTGCATATACATAGTAAAGTATCTTAGGGAAGTGACCCAAACCAAAACATAAAATTAAGTTATGTTTTATACACATTTTTATGCATAGCATGAATATAATTTTATACTATATTTTTAAATTTTGTGCATGAAATGAAGTTTATGTACCCTTAACCATCAAAATGAATCTTTTGTAGTATCCTTTTGGTGCTTAAAAATTTTTGGATTTGGAAGACGTTTGGACTTGCACATGAGGAATACTCAATCTGTATTAATCTCTGAGCATTGATTTTTTTTAATCTAAGGAGGTGTATTACTCAATACAGTCGTGTAACAAATGAACAAATAAAACAATTGATACCCTATGAGGAAATGACCCCTTGTTGCTTGTTGTTCTTGGCATTCAAAACGAAGTCCACACACTAATTGGGGTCAGGACATCACATCAAACTGAGAAGAATGGCTGAACACTACTCCAGTGAACATAGGTGGAAGGAGGTAATCAGTTCCGTTCTGGGAGTTTTCAGAGAAGAATTTGAGAAAAAGAAATCTCTTTCTTCTCCTCAGAGAATTTTTTTTTATCTTGTTGTTGCTCTAATTTTAGCACTTGATAATCCCTAAGGAAATGGTGGTTAAACAAAAGCACTATTTATGAGAATCCAAGTGTCAGTAAGTATTGAAAGAAAGAGCAATGCATCATGCCCCTTCCCCTCTTTTATCATAGAAGAGCCATGATGATTGAACTATGGACATCCTGCCTGGACGTGTTATACAGAAGCAAATAAAAAAATGAAATTTTTAGAAAAATATTTTAATTTTAAAATGCAAGAGCCAGGGAAATAGCTCAGTGGCACAGTGCCTGCCTGGCAAGCATGAGGTCCTGAGTTCAATTCCCAGTACAAAAAAAAAATAAGATAATTGTCTTAGTTATTTTTCACTTGTTGCTGAGACAAAATACCCGATGCCCCAAAATTAAAGAGGAAAAGTTTATTTAGCTTACAGTTTGCAGGGCTTTCTGTCCATAATCAGCTGGCTTCAAGGCAAGGTGGTGTGGCAGAGGGGCAATAGTTCATGGTGGTGGAAGATACTAAAAGCCACAAGAGGGGAGCAGACTCCCTCTTTCTGTCCCTTATATTGTATGCAGGCTACCTGCACTAGGGTGCGTATAGCATTCATACCCATAATCTCAGCATTGGACCAACAATCAATCACAAACTCTAGATGCACCATCTCCAAAAAACCAACCCCAACATAACCATGTGAGTGAGGCTCTGGGAGGACATCCAGACACAAACCATAACAACATCATAAAATATGGTAGCTAAAGTACCACATCTTGGTAATCAACAACCAAGCCTAATGCTGTGCAGATAAAAAAAACAATGGAGACCCAGTGACAGAACTGGCCAAAGCAGATGATTTTAGTTATCACATTCCTGGTAGTCTGGAGATGGAAAAGGGAAAAAGTGATGATTTAGGAGAGAACTACTTGGGCGGGGATACAGCTCAGTGGCACAAAGTGCCCATCTGGTAAAACACAAAGTCCTAAGTTTAATTCCAAGAACTCCCCCCTCAAAAAAGAGAAAGCTATTTTGCATATAAATATTTTCTTTTAATAGCTCTGGAAATCTTTAGGATAACTTTATACAGTGTATGATTACATGAATGATTACAATTTAAATCTCTAAACATCTGTTTTGATCATGTAGTCTGTTTATTAATACCCTATTTTGTTAACAGAAATAGGTGGTTATATAGACAGAAAACAGTGTGCTTTGGGAGGTACAATGGTTTTGGAAGAGATTTGGAAAGCCATGGGTACCAGATTATAATCCTTCTAGGACATGGACATCTTGGAGTTATTTTCTGGATTTCAGACTCACTCTCCAATAGTCAGGGGGTGTTATATATGAGAGATTCTTGAGTTTTTTTGTGTTTGTTTTTGGTTAGATAAATGAAAAACAATTTAATACACTTTTCAGAGCTCTCCTCAGAGACCCCAGCCTGAGCAAGACAACTGTCAAAAAGACAGAATATTTGAGAATGAAATCTCAGAAGATGCTGTTTGTCCCTTTTATGCCCCCTCGAAGGCAAGAGAACAGAGTACTCTGGATGGGCCCAGGTAGGCTGTGAAGTACACGTGCCTGGCATCGTGTCTTCCTTTAGTGGTGGCACTGGTGCTGACTTTGAGCAATTTAATGTTTAATGTTTCTGTGAGGGCTGAAACAGATGATAATACCAAGGACTTAGTAAATGGCATGGTTGAAGGACTTGTGTTTGACATGGAGTTGACCCATATTATGTTAACTATTAGCCTTAGTACACCTACTGAAACCAAAAGCTTCAGGTTGGAGGCCTGTTTTCAGTGAGGGCTCTCCTTTGTAGGTGCTTTGAGGTAGGACATTGAGTTAAGTATGAGACCAGATATCCAGCCTCTGTACCTGGAGCATGAAAAGAAAGGACTTGATGCCCTGCTGATGATTTAGAGATAAATACAAGTACCTAAAGTGGTTATTAGTCTTCAGGTGGTGAATATTAGATAGAGATTTCATTCCTGTATGCATTTGGTTTTTTGTTGATTCTGCTGATGAATATCCTCACTCAGATATTATTGCTAATGAAAATAATTATACAGTAAGCCTGTGATATGTTGGTTCTTTTACATGTGTGTTTTATTCAGAATCTGAGTTGAGACTTGACATTATTGTTCTGAGTGATAGTTCTGGGTGGCAGATAGTTCTCAGTTCAGGGCTGAGCAAGACAGTAATACTTAGAGGGTGTTTTGGTGTTGACTGATTGCATTTGTCACTTTAGCCGGTTGGTTTAGCAGCCCAGATTGGGTAGGAAAAATATCTTAAAAGTCATATAGCACCGTTCCAAGAGCTGGGAACAGATTATCAAGGTACTTACTCCAACCTCAGCGCCCACTGACTGAAGAATCTGAACAGATGTTGTGAGATGCCTGTTCAGTGCAGTGTTGCAAAAGCACGAAACAGTGTGCTCCATCCAGGTGTAATCAGAGGCTGCCTGTAAAGTTCCTTGTCATGGCAAAACCTAAGCCAAACACATGATAGCCAGAACCTGTTGAGCTGGAAGGAGTCATGGAGCTCACATCATCCAATTCCTTCCTTTTCCACTCAAGGAATCAAATCCACAGATGTCTAGTGACCTGCTTAAAATAATGCAGCTAACTGGGGTCAGAGAGAAGACTTAAGACAGAATACAGTTATTCTTAAATATCTTCTCTGCTGTTTTTTATTTTAGCAAACTTCCCACTGTTTCCACCTTTCACCTCACCAACTTTTACCTCTTTGCAAAATGATTAATTTTGCAGTAAGCTGGAATAACAGAAATCGGTGGCAAATACTGTACCAACATATTTGGCATTGTCTTAGGGTCTCTGGAAATCCCCCAAAACATTTAAATAGTTTTCAGCCAGCATGAAAATTTGCTTATTTTCGGGTGGTGGCTTTTAGGTTCACCAATTAAATAAATCTTTGTTCCTGGTCTGGGCCGTAAAGACTGGTTTCTCTATACCCATGCTGAAGTATTCCACTGTGAGACCAAGGATGGCTTTTAAGCAATTTGAGGCCATTTAGAGGAGCCCAAATGTCATATCTCTGTGAATACAGGGCGTGCAGTTGTCAAGTGAGAAAAACCAGAGTCTCTTAGTGAGCTCTACAGTCGACGAGCATTCACTCAGGCTTGCTGAGAACAACCCTCCATGGTATTTAAGATGCAACTCATCCCCAGATCAAGCTACTCAGAATTGCCTTTTTACTCAAGATCAAGAGGCCTTAGAAGTCATATTGTAAGCAGTCGGGAAATGATCACGTTGAACTGAAATAGAGCAGCTAGAAAGGAAACAAACGTGTCCTTAAAAGACCCAACGAAGCTGGGTATATTCATCAGAGACCTGTTCTGAGGTGCCTTTTGCTTTCCCTAGACCAACGGAAGAATCTTCCGCCATAAAGATTTATGTAGTTTGCATTCTGAGATACTTTCCTTTTCTTAATGTTAGATGATGAAATTTCTATGTGCCAATTAAAGAAAAATGAAACGGGTTAGTTTCTCCCTGAATTTCTCTCTTACGGAGTTCCCTGCACAGTGGTCAGTGCAGTCATCGAATTTCAGGAAAATCTCAGTTCAAAGCTATTTTCATCCTCTCACCTTCCCCCAAAGAGATGGTGCCTACGTCGATCTTTGTCTCTTCCTTCAACACTCAAGGTCCTCTTTCCCTCTTCTTCCCTCCTTCTGGAGTCAGAGACGTATATGTGATGCTTTTCTTTTCTCCCTCTTCCCTAGTTGCTTTATAAAATCCCCACTCTCACACTCATAGTCATTATTTTTTCCCTCCTAGTTTGTTTCCCATATCTACCTGAAACGCATGACTAATAACCTTTCACACTTGGCTTTTGATAAGCTTTGAAAGAGGAAGATGTAAAGCCACACATTGTGGTGTGTGTTTATAGTAAAGAACTCTGCTCTGATGTTCCAGAAAGTTCATTTGGAATCTGAAGTGTTCATTTCCTCCTTACACATCAACATATCCTTCATCCATTTAAACTTCGTTTCCTTATTAAAGCTATACTTTTGCTTTTTTCTTTTTTAGTAATTAACAGTTTTCCCATTTTGAGTACTATGGTCCAGCATTGTTTTCCAACTACTTCTTCATTACAAATGTATCACATAAGGGAAACAAGCCCTTTTGAAATAATTTTGGAAACTGGCCATTTTCAGGACATTGTTTCCATGAGAAAATGAATTCCCAGCTTTTAGAACATGATTTATTTTCACTTGGCTCTTTCCTTTGTGTGTTTGGTAACACGAATCTTTTGATGTGGTGACAAAATCAGAGAGGTCTGCCTTGGTTTTTACCTTGTTGAATATTTTCATAACAGAACAGATTAACTTGTTGATTTCTCACACTATTGTATTGGAATGGCAGAGTAGAGACCTTGCATTGCACATTGTTGGGATTTTTTTTTATAGTTTTTCCAATCACAGTATATGGAGAGTACAATTTCCCCTTATTTCTGCTCCTTTCTGAACTCATGGAGAGACTGGCTTTTCCAGTCTCCCTTGTAATTGGGTATGTTAGAGTTCCATCACTATGACAGAATACCTAGAAATATCCGCTTAAAACTTTTCACGGTTTCAGAAATTTCAGTCCGTGGTTGGCTGGTTCCATCGTTTCCGGTCCTGAGGTGAAGCGGATCATGGTGGAGAGGGTGAGGTCAGCAGAGCTGTCCACTTCATAGCAGCCAGCAAGCAGCGAGAGGGGGAAGATAGGTCAGAGCTTTAGTCATTTTTCTGTTTCTGGAACAAAATATCTATAAAATATATCCGAAATTGAAAAGAGAAGTGGTTTGTTTT